GCTTCACATTGTATTTCTTCGATATGTTGAAGGTTTCCTCTATGGCCTTGTATTTCTTCAATATTTTGAAGTTTTCCTGTAAATGTTTCAAATAGTCCTCTGCTCGCAGGGACTTAGCTAACATATCGTCATTGTAAACCTCCATTGAATTTCCTATTTGCTCTTCAAACATCCGATTTACTAGGCGTTGGTAAGTGGCACCAGCATTTTTTAGTCCGAATGGCATTACGTTATAATAGTAGGTGCCATATTTAGTGATGAAGGGAGTTTTTTCCTGGTCCCCCGGGTCCATCCGGATTTGGTTGTATCCGGAATAGGCATCGAGAAAGCTGAGGATCTCGTGGCTGGCAGTCGCATCGATCATGCAATCGATGTTGGGCAGAGGAAAAGATTCCTTGGGGAATGCCTTGTTCAAGTCTTTGTAATATACACACATTCTTAATTTATTTCCCTTTTTAGGGACTACTACTACGTTTGCTAACCAATCCGGGTACTTAACTTATCGAATGGAGCCTATTTTAAGGAGTTTAGATAACTCGTCTTTGATGAATGCATGATTGACTTCGAACTGAGGCCTTCTTTTCTGTTTGACTGGGTGGAACTTCGGATCCAGCTCAGCTTGTGAGTAGTTATTTCTGGCGGGATCCCTGTCATGTCCAGGTGGGACCAGGAAAAACAATCTATTTTAGCTATAAGGAATTCTATGAGCTTTTTTCTAAGCTCGGGACTTAACCCCGTGCCCAGGTATACCTTCCGATCGGGCAGGTGCTCGATCAATATGACTTGCTCCAGCTCCTCGACCGTTGACTTGGTGGCGTCGGAATCGTTAGGGGCTATGAAAGACCTGGGAACTCCGTAGTTGTCATCCTCGCCCGTCCCCTGCTTTTCTGGCTCGGTCGGGGCCGGTATTAGTGATTTCTATTTGGTTTCTTCCTTTGTGACGGAATTCGAATTTTTTTATGACGAGAGAGCGGATATCGGGACCACCTCATCGGCCACGAACATGTCTTTTGCGGCCGGTTGCTCTTCATAAACTATTTTAATCCCTCCTGGTGTTGGGAATTTCAACACCTGGTGAAGTGTCAAGCGTACTGCCCTCATGTTGTGAATCCATGGCCTCCCGAACAGAGCATTGTATCTCATATCTCCTTCGATCACGTAGAACTTTATTTCCTGAACGGTTCCAGCGATGTTCACCGGTAGGGCTATCTAACCTTTAGTGGTCTTACATACCATGTTGAATCTATTTAGAACTCGGACTGCATGCATAGTTTGGTCTTGTAGACCCAGCTATTCTACGACCCTCGATCTGATGGTATTGGCCGAGCTACCTAGATCAATTAACACACGCTTAACTCGGGATTTATTTATGAGTACAGATATCACCAGTGCATTATTGTGTGGTTGCACGATGCCTTCAACATTCTCGTCATTGAAAGATACGGTTCCTTCTTGCACGTAATCCCGAGTCCATTTTTCTCTTGTGATGGGCACTTTGGTGCGCTTTAACACCAGCCCCTGGGGGCGTCAACCCCACCAATGATCATGTTAATGACGTGCTGAGGTTCCTCTCTCGATCTGCTTATTGGAGTCCCTATTCCTGAAGTGATTTTTGGCTCGATCACTCAGGAACTCTCGGAGGTATCCGTTGTTGAATAACCAGCTATTTCCTCTCTTAGTTGTCGGCAGTATTCAGTTCTGTGGCCGTGAGTGCCATGATATTTACACATTAGGTTGGGGTCCCTTTGGGTAGGGTCGGACTGTAAAGGTCGAGGCCACTTGGTCTCTTTGATGCGCGCGATGGCAGATACGATGGCAGCAGCGTTGACGTTGAAGTTGTACTCTGATAACCTTGACTCTTCCTTAGGCCCGATGGGCCTGTCAAAACTACTTTTGCTCATAAGTCCCCGATTATTTTAACCTCGGTCGCTCCTCCTTTCAATTCTCACAGGGTTTCATCCAGACCCATTACCCCTTCGATCTCCATTGTATGGTTGATACCGGTCACTATTCGATCTTGGTTCACGATCAATGTCTTTTTTGGATCTGTCATTAGCTCTGACAGGATGAACGGACCCGGAGGGGGACCCAAGCTGATCATCTTCGACCCTGATTTTTTATTGGTACGGTTATGGACGTCGCCCCAAGTTACCACCGGGTATTCTATTAGATTTTGCTTCAATTGTTGTGAAGCCAATGAGCTTCGAGCATTGAGTCCTTGGGTGAAGGCCAGAACGGCCCAATCACCAGCGATCGGAGGTAGGTCTATTCGTTCCATTTGAAACCAAGACACGAATTCCCTAAGCATCTTGTATCTGTTTGCTTCACTTTGAAAAGGTCTGACTTCCTGGTCTCGACCTTGATGGCCCCGGAGTGTGCTTTCACGAATGCGTCTGCAAGCATAGAAAACGAGTCAATAAACTTAGGGGGTAAGTTGTGATGCCATATCATAGCTCCTTTTGACAAGGTTTCTCCGAACTTTTTCAGTAGGACATACTCGATTTCATCATGTTGCAAGTTGTTCCCCTTGATGGCGCACGTGTAGGAGGTCACATGTTCATTTGGTTCAGTTATTCCGTTGTACTTAGAAATTTCGGGCATGCAGAACTTCTTTAGGATCGGCTTCGGAGCTGCACTCGGAGAGAAAGGTTTTTGAACAAACTTATTAGAATCCAGGCCCTTCAATATTAGTGGTGCTCCTGGGATATGGTCGACCCTGGAATTGTAGGTTTCTACTTTTTTGTCATTGACTTCGATTTTCTTTTCTCCCAATTCTACCAGTTTTGTTAGTTCCTCAAGCATTTTTATGATCTCAGGGTTGGTCCGGGGTTCAACTTCACTCGGACTTTCTTCGATTGGTTCATTTCTATGAGCGTTTTCTCGGGATGGTTTGGGCTCAACTCTGCTGGGAGCCGCGGCTCTGGTTCTACAACTGGGCTATCGCTACTTGTTAAGCCTGCAATATTTCGAAGATTACTCGCAAGTTGATTCATCACCTTCGCCGTCGTGTGTATTTTGGGCCGCCAGTCGGACTCCCCCACGGATGTTGTTCTCAGGATCGGTAGGAATTTTGCATTGATGTCCACATATGAGTTAGCGTCGATTGGGTCCGCGGCAAGAACTCCGTTGGGGTCGACAGAGGGCACCTCGTTAGTGGGTACCACATTGTTGTTTTTGCCATGGTGGTTAGACTCAGCATCCATGTTCAAAGGGGCAGATTGGGAGTTCGACATTTTAAATTTGTCATGAAATTAACAGCTCAAAGAACAAGTGTAAAATAGGGTGTGTTATGTAAATTTGTATCAAATTGCCACTATTATCCTTGGCCCCTCAAAAACGGATAACAATTAAATTTGTAAGTGATTTTAAGGATATGCAAATTAATTCAATACAAACGATAAATTGCTTTAGATTAAACAGATGAGGGATTGAATAATTTTCAAACCGCTTAAAGGGGTGGTTACGGACTCAATAACAGCCTTCACGAAGTGTCTGCCCTCGATTCCGGACTCACAGTAACGAAGCACTGATGAACAAAAGTGAGAACTCTGAATAACAGAGAAAATAATAGTATATTGCCTCGATATGTGTGTTACAGTGTCCTTAATGAATCAGGCCCCCCTTTTTATAGTAGGGGAGTTCTACTCTAAGTACAATTCCATAAAAGGTAAAAATCTTTCGTTTAACCTATCACTAGATTTCTGCCGATACGTGCTGAGATCCCCGCCGTGATATCCGGCCGGTCACAGATATCACAGCCTTCTATTACTCGTGCTTGATTTCCTGATAATGCTCTCCAAGGTCTTTAGGGATTCGAACCGATCCCGGGGTTATGGCCCCGATATTCCCGAGGGCGGGCATTGTGCCCTTGGGTTTTGGCTCGAGGGGCTCCTTGTCTCAGTCCTGATTCCTTGCCGTCACGCCTCTTACTTCGTTACTTCATCGGCAACTGAGGCGTCTCAAAGGTTCGATTTCACCCTTATACAGTTCTAAATATGCCTCGGAGATAAAAAGAGCAGTATTTAAAATATATTTTGATTTGATCCAAAGGGAAGAATAACGCACACTATGAAAACAGTATACTCTCCAAAAATTGTTTTTAACAACAGTTTGAAAGAACGACAAGTTTTCATTAACTTATTTTTCGATTTCGGCCTCGCATATAGAAACAGTAGGGCGCAGATATCTTCTATGATATGAACAAAGGTTCAGTTTAGTTCCTTAAATAAAAACTTTCTTGAAAAACTGCACACCACTTGTTCTTCAACTATCTCAAACCTCCAATGCAGTTCCAGAAGCTATAACGAGAATTGCGCAATACCAGTTTAATTCTGGTCAGTTTCATCTTTACAGGGGACAATGGCCGAGAATATATTACACGTAAATGATTTTACATTAACAATTAATTCACCTTAAAACTAATCAATTGTTTCCGTAGATTGGACGTTCACTAGAGGAGTTGGACATGAGTCTGTCTGGTATGGCCAAGAACGTGATGCTCAAAACGACTGATGCAGCTGTCGACGCTCAGTAAATACATTTAAAACATCTTCTAAAATGCGTAAAGTTGTTTTCTTCTTTTTCCTTTTCCTTCACAAATGTACGCTGTTAGGTCACTCCTACAATATGCTATTCTAGTTTTTAAATGATTAGTAAGTGAGACAAGACGTTTAATATTGGCTGAAGGCTTTAACACCGGTTAACGTACCATGTGAATAATAAGCAGAGGCATACATGAAATAGGCAACACTAATATTACAATGACCCAAAAATAAAAGCAACTACGGTCAGAAACAGATCAGTAACATGCCCTTCAAACCATGAGAACCTAAGCAAATCGCTACCGAATAGGTACATTCACTCTATGTTGATCCTGACGATGTTTCTTGGTTTGTCACTTTGACTCGCAGGCTGGGTACTGCTATTACGTCTCAGACCACTAAATGGATCTCTGAATCCAGGATCCCAGTTGGTCAACCAATTATTACTTGTTCCTGCATAAACCAAACAGCAAATTACAGGGATCACACATGCATTAAGCTTCTTCCTATGAAAGGAAGATTTCATCCAGCAAAATCCTGAAAGGCTAACAGAAACTAGCAGGTCACTGGATGGCATAGACAAGGTTCCATTTTTCGCTTTGCTTTCTGTCAGACTGGGCCCGAATGGTAGAATTGGTACCCGTGCATGGGGTAAACAAGAGCTAGATTTCAAGCAGGCATGATCTTTGTGCTTGCTTCTTTAAGTAGCGCTTTACTTCGTAAGCAAACAGATAATAGCCCACAAAGTTTGTCTAATTCTTCCCACCTAAGCGCGCAGTAAATCACAAGCAAACAGTATATCAAACTGGTATGGTAACTCCTAAGAGATTGAAAACAGCTCCTGCTACATATTTTCTGAAATGTCGAATCTAAGGGCTGCAGCTTCTAACAGTTTTTGCACAGAATCTGCATTAAAACGAATTTTTCATCTAAAACGAATAAGGTAATCTTTTAGTGAGACGCTAAACTAGAAAAACTTCGAAATTCAATTTACTAACAGGGAGAACTCTACCGCTTGCTGCGAAAATTAGCTACCACACTAAATAAAAAAATTCACACCACCATAAATAATGGCATTCTACCTTTTTGAGTGTTTTTCATAAAGTGATCTCTTCCACAAGTGTGTTACAGAAGAATTAATTTCACCCATGCTCAACCATGCAATATCATTTGCTTAGGCTCATTGTGAAGTGCCAACTAATAAGCTAGTGGTAAGGTCAAGTCTACCTCTCTTCATCTGTGTCATTGTTTGATGAGAGGTGGTGAAGTAATTCCCTACACAGTTACTCCCACGCCCTATATCGACAAAGTTACCTAAACTCTCTTCATGCCCTCTCAAATGAGACAGCTAATAAAGTTTAGCGATAGCAATATAAAATACATAAACTAAGAACATTGTCAAACTAAGTCTAGCATGATTCGGGGGAAAAACCCTAAGTCTAGCATAACTGTATAAGGAATAAAGATAGTTTAACTGAGAAGAGTCAATACTCCGTTGAAAATGTGCAAATGTAATCCATCAGGGCATGTACCAGTACTATTTGACATGATCAGTAGAGAAAGGCATTTCCTTTTCTCACTAACCTGCATTTGCATGCAAATCAGACCCACTCTCCCAGCCAGGAATATGCTTATCAGCATTGCCATTCCATGTCTGTTTAAAGCCAGCTAATTCATCTGCAAAACAAAGAGACAAACATGTGAAATCTGCTGTTGAACGGAACGTAGAAGTGGAACACCTGAGTAATCTTCAAGAAGATGCTACCCTCTGCTAGATTATGCAATGTCTGCGTCGTGTCCACCTTGCCGTCAGAGGCAAGCTTCCTTGTTAAGGAGTGTCCCTAGGAATGATAGAAGAATGTGAATAAGATACTTTTCTCTATCCGGCAAGATGAAGCCACTGTTCACAGAGTAAAGGAAAAGGCTAGAATTCAACCAGAGATTGCACATATCTTTAACTACACAAATCGAGCAATCTTTTAGATTATCATGTAACTGCCAATGTCTAACGCAGGCGAAATAATGCAAGTCTCCCGCAAATTCGTATGAGAAAAGTCAGACTTGTTTCTATCTTCCGCATGAATGGCAGACACATACGATTAGTCACTCTTATTAACTACTAATGCCTCTTTCTCAGCATAGAAGACAAGTGTTAAGACTCCTTTAAAAATGTTCACAAAGTTACGAACTCCATACTTTGGTTGTTAAATCCATCCAAATTTACATAATTTCTAGTAGATAATTTAGAAAGTATTGGAGGTCCACCATTTTCCACTGAGACTCATAGATGTTATCTTGAACATAGTGTATGTTTTCGACTAAATAAGCTTCTAAACATAAAACACATCACAAGTCCTTCAAGTATTTTAATAACAGTGCCAAAAGCAAAGACTAATAAAATGTATTATACCTTATCGTGGATGCCCCTGGAGATTCTATGTGTTGCTTGACCAGTTGTTCTATCTGCTTGCTTGCTCTCCTCTAGCACCCTCTGTTTCATAACATGTGCACTGTTAGAATCAGGAAGAACGCACTTATTCAGCCAGATCAACAAGAGATCAAGGAGATGAGAACATACTCCATTACTTCCAGTCTTACGCGTGGTGGTGGCAGTGTAATATGCCCCCTCTATTCCACCATATGTAACTCTTCTATAGCTCGCGCTTTGAGGCTTGGATTCTGTTCCTTCCAAATTCATATCTTCCATTCTCCGAGTCACGTCTTTGCTTACGCTCTTGCTCTTGCTATGGTCTGCGACATAAGTACAACTAATGATTTCCACCAACAAGAATGTTATTTCCTCCGTTTCATTTTATGTGTCACTCTGTCTTTTTTAGTCTATCCTAAAAAAGATGTCAAGAACATGTGAAACTCTCTCCACCTATCACTTACTTGTTGGTAGTAAGGGCAACTTTAGTAGTTCGCATATAATTAATTAATGTCTCAAAAGTTTCCTTTATTTCTTAAGCTATATCCTCAATCAAACAGTGCTACGTAAAATGAGACAAAAGGAGTACTAATTATGGACAGATAACATAAAAACAACCAAAAGTTACCATCAGTTTGGTCTTCAGGATGTTCAACAAGTGGATTTCTGTTAGCATAATCCCTATCTCTTTCCTCCTCGGAGCCATTAACGCCATCTTCCTCCGCTGATTCTAGCTCTACTTCTCCCTCATCATCCATATTTATCTCTTGAATGACTGGCCCATTGGAATTAGCAAACTGCTGCAAGTCATCAGCAGGAGTTGTTGGATGTAACATGGAAGACTGAGACAATTTAGGAAAAGGGCGAGTAAAGAACGGGTCATCAAATGGGTCTCTTCCTCCAAATATACTAGACATCATGCCTCCAAATCCATCAAATGGACTGCTGAAGGAGTTGAAATTGTCTCTGCCACCTCTTTCTCTCTGCATATTCTCACACCAAACCCTAGTTCCAGAACCGGAAACTTAATAGCTTAGCCATTTAAAGCTATTGAAAAGGTTAAGATTGATTGACAATAGGATACATCATAATTTAGTAATGTGCAGCAATTACAATCTCATAGTCAATTAACGTATCGAGATTGACAACGTCTCAGCTCCTATTTTAGTACTACTACTTAGTAATACAATACTGAAAAAGCACTTGAAAGAATTCGCCACAAAAGCTAGTTTGAACCCTGATATGTATATTTTTAGGAACCTTGTCAAATATTTGAAAGTAGGACATTTACATTCTTACAATCCTGAGGATATCATGAGTTTATATTTTGATAAAAGCACAAGTTTACAATGATTAGAACCTCTATTTTAGGCAATGATACTCTTAACTGAACTTTTTAAGCTCATTTTAGTAAATGATAGAGCTAGTGCAGAATCTACCAGTTCCATGACTAGAAGAAAATTGAATTAAACAATAAACAGCAGCAGAAAAATTAAAAATAGATTGCTAATTCCCTTTACCAAAAAAGAGATTGAATTACCTTAGGTGCAGAGTCGAGAATAAATTTGTTTTATGAGGGGGGATGAAATATGTGCGGGCTACGATTTATATTTGAGGAGTGACACGTTGGAGAGTTGTAGAGGTCAGAATACATGGAGAGTTTGGAGCCTAGATCCTTCCATTTTCTTTCATTTTCTATTCTATTTCTCTCCTTGCACTCAGAACCTTCCAGGTCTCTCTTTTACCATTCCTTTTTATCTACTTTTTGGTGTTTGAATGAACAAAGAATATAAAAAACTAATTGTGCAAACTATTAAATTAGTTTAACAAATATTGAGTAAGGACCTAATGAGAGGTTGAAATAATCATTACTCCTATGAGGGGAATACTATCAACCATTTTGGCACATTCTAAAATAAACACATTATTCAGTTGTTTCTATTAGAATAATATATTATTCGTTAAATATTATTTGTGTGTTCAACTAAACTCATTATTAGCGATTCTAATTATGTGTACATTTCCCCTTTTGATACTTTACGCGTGTGTATTTTTAGTGTTATAATTTGCGGGGTCGGTTAGTTTCATTTCGGGAAGGTTGTGGGTTGATTTGGACCGTTTGGTTATTGGTTTTGAAGCCTTAGTTGTAAATATTGACCAAAGTTTGATGTTTGTGAAAACGACCTCAGAATGGTGTTTTGATAGTTTCGATAGGTTCGTACCATGATTTTGGACTTGTGCGTATGTCCGAAATCGAATTCGGAGGTCCCTAGGTTGATTTGACTTGTTTTGTTGAAAGTTGGCAATTTGAGGTTTAGAAGTGTTCCCAAGTTTGACCATAGGTTGAATTTTTGGCTATCGGATTTAGAATTTGATCTTGGGACTTGGAATAGGTCCGTTTTGCTATATGGAATTTGTCTGCAAAATTTGGTATCATTTGGAGTTGGTTTGATAGGATTCGGACGTTTGGTTGCAGTTTTAGAGGTTCTTGAGTTTTTTTTGGAATTCATGCATTTTGATGTCCAGTTCGTAGTTCTAGATGTTATTTTTGTATTTTGATCACGCGAGCGAGTTCGTATGATGTTATTAGACTTGTGTGGATGTTTAATTTGGAGCCCCGATGACTCATGTGAGTTTCGGATGTGTTTCAGATTGGATTGAACTTATTTTAGGTTGCTGGTGTGTTTGTGTTGTAGTTATCGCAATTGCGAGCACCAGCCTCGCAATTGCGAAGTGAACAGGTGAGGGTCAGGTATCACAATTGCAAAGTGTAGACTATACTGGGTAGGTTCGCATTTATGACACATTAGTCGCATTTGCGAAGGGAGCAGGCTTCGCATTGTCGCATTTGCAACTTCCCACATAGGCTGTCAGTGCCGCATTTGCGAAGCATTCTTCACAATTGCGAGGGTTCGCAATTGCAAAGCCAGTATCGCAATTGCGATATCTGCAACTGAACAAAAGGGTTGGGAGTCGGATTTCATCTCATTTTCTCTCATTTTAGATAGACTCGGTAGGAAGCGATTTGGAGAGGAGATTTTCATCTACTTTATCGTGTAAACATCATTGCTTTATCGATCGTAATTGGTTTCTCTTGCATTTTTTGCTGATAGTGAGTCTTTTTTGTTAGATTTGAGCTTTGTGGAGGCAAATTTTAGGGGGAAAGATATTTTTAGGGTTGATTTGGCCTAGTTGAGTGTAAGTATTAGCCTAACTTTGTGTGGGGGAACTACCCCTTAGAATTTGGGTTGATTGTGTTATTTGAATTATGTGAAAGATGTGTACACGAGATGACGAGCGTGTACACGGGCTTATGTGTGGTATTTTGACCGGTTTAAACTTTTAGACTTCTTCCATGCATTTAATTGAATTTGTCATAGCATGTTATATCATCCATTGTTAAATTTACTCTCACATACTGTATTTGACGTTGTTAGCACATGTTCTATCTTTTATTGTTAAGTTTTCTCTTATATGCTTTAGTTGAAGTTGTTGCCTCTCTTATTATCTTGCTACCTCTCTTATTATTGAATTACTCTTATTTGAAGTTTTCATTTCGTAGGAATACCTCCATTTTGAGTTATTGAGGTTGAAGTTGTGAAAGCTATTAACACATTGAGGTTGAAGTTGTCGATTATTAAGATATCTTCCTTGTTGAGTATTTCTCATTTATTTTGTTATTATTGAGATTCTTGTTCCCATTGTGGTTGAGCCGTGGGCTAGATATTGTGGTAACATTGGTGTTGTTGATTTTGGCAAGTGTTGTGAAATTTAGGCACATGTAGTGCGAGTTGATTATTGTGTTATGATATTGATACGCATGCGGTGGTATAAGGATAGGGGTTGATACACATGCAATGAGATATGGCGGAATTTAAACGCGTGTTGCTAGTAAGGGAATTACTTGAAGCCACGCAGTGAGATAAGGGGGCTAAAACGTGTATAGTTATTTCGAAAAAAAAATATTTTTAAAAATAATTGCAAGGCTCACACAGTGATAGAAGAAAGATTGTGATTATGACTTGTAAAATGTAAAATATGAAATTTGAGGTGGTACCTCGGTTGTGATTCTTATTATACATTATTTGATAAAAAGGCTTGATGGTTGAACAGTTTTGGTTACTACCTCATTGTCTTACTTGTATTTGTCCGTATTTGATTACTTGTTGTTCTTATCATGTGTTCACTCCTTGTTGCCTTGGTTTCCCTGAATTCTGTTTTTAGCCTATATTATTGTACTGTTTGTTATCATTCATTTCCTCGCTTTCCGTTATTTGTCTATATTATACTCTGTTCAGCTTTCTCATCCTAGTAGGTGTCCTAGCCTCGTCACTACTCTACCGAGGTTATGCTTGATACTTACTGGGTACCGCTGTGGTGTACTTCTGGACATATAAAATTTATTAAGTTTAATCCATACAAAAGTTTGGATTGAATCTTGATTTTATTTGGGTTAAATAATTAATTTGGACTTTACAAATTAAATTGGTCCATTTTATTATTTGCAAGCCCAAGGTCCATTTCATCTTAAGGCCCAAACTCATGCCATGTGTCAAGTGACACGGCATATCCACTCAAACTCAAAGCCAACAAGATGACGCCACATGTGAAATGATGTGGCAACCCCAGTCTAAAATATATAGCGACCAATCAAGAGTTGCCAAGTATCTAAAAATGACATGTCTTGGCCAATCACAAGAAAGCTTATCACATAGCTTATGTGATAAGTTTGATGACTCACATGAGCCAATCAGAATCAAGCAAGAGATTTCATATGTATCTGACTGTCCATTCTCTACCATTATAAATAGAGGGGTTACATAACTCTCTGAGGACATTGAGAATTGGAGAAAAGCATTCCGCAATTGGTGAAGGAATTCACAAACAGAGAGATCAATCATCAAGTGCGTAGTTCTTCAACAAAGGAGTGATCAACGGAGTTCTTCTCGGAGATCAACCCGAAACAACAAAGTGCTGCTCGATGTTCTTGGAGATTAAATACATCACAGAAGAGGTCTGCATCATCCTACATTCGAGAAAGACGCTTCTCAAGCCCTCGAATCACAGAGAATTTCAGAGAGGAGAATCATGGGATACTTAGAATTGCACTCACAAATACTCATCAATAAAATCTCTTTTTCTTCATATTATTTTTGTTGCAGTTTAAATTTTCGTACTACAAAAATTTGTTGCCGACAAATTTTGGTACGCCCGGTAGGACCAATTCACCCCTTCATCTCTTCCTCTTGCAAGTTGAAACTTCAGATCTATTGCTGCAATGGCCTTCCGAAAGTGTGTTGATGTTCTATGCAAAGATGCTACCACTGCCGCATCCGTTGAGATCAGTCATGTTGGCCCAATTACTCGAAGCGAATTCAAGGCTAGTGGCTTGGAGGGATCCGAATACTTCGCCTCCTTGGAGATGGCAGCAGATCTCACATGACGTCTGCAACTGCAACCTCTGGGGGAAACACCCCATTCTCGCTATTTGGCGAACTTTATCAAACGGCCTCCAACCTTGGTGGATTTGAGGATTTGGTGGATTCTCCAGTTTCAACGAAAGTCAATGCCTTAATGACTGACGCAACTAACGTGGACGAAAAGTTTGCTATGATGGAACAGACTATAGAAGTCTTGAAGAAATTTGTTGAAGACAAAGACCTTCAAATCGCTCAACTTATGAACAAATTGGAGGCCCATGCACCTGGAGAGTCGAGCCATGTCCCTTCTCGTTCACCTATCTCCACCTCGCAAAAAACGGCTGTTGAAGAATCGCTTGCCAAGTTCAGCATTCAGAAAGAAAAACAATCCACTTCGGCTGCGGCGCTATCTGTCCAACAATTGCAAGATATAATAATAAACACCATCAGAGCTCAATACGACGGACCATCACAAAGTTCGTTGTACTACTCTAAGCCTTATACTAAGATGATTGATTGTTTAACTATGCCAACCAATTATCAACCACCAAAGCTGCATCAATTTGATGGCAAAGGAAACCCAAGGCAACATATTGCCCACTTTTTCGAGGCTTGTAGCAATGCTGGAACGCATGGTGACCTTTTGGTAAAAAAGTTTGTTCGTTCGCTGAAAGGGAACATATTTGACTGGTATATTGACTTGGAGCCCGAGTCCATTGATAGTTGGGAGCAACTTGAGAAGGAATTCATCAATCATTTTTACACTGCCCGAAGAACTGTAAGCATGATTGAGTTGACATGCACCAAGCAAAGGAAAGACGCACATGTGGTGGATTACATCAATCGTTGGAGAGCATAAAGTTTGGACTGCAAGGATCGCCTTTCAGAAATATCTGCTGTGGAGATGTGGATTCAAGGATTGCACTAGGGCCTTTTGTACATCCTATAAGGGATCAAACAGCAAACTTTCGAAGAACTTGCAGCGCGAGCACACGAAAAAATGGAGTTGAGCATCGCAAGTCATGGAAAGGCATCTCCATTTGCTGATCAGAAGGAGCTCAAGAAAAGTATTGCATCAAAGAACCAAACTAAAGAATCTATGGTTGTGAAAGCGACTTCTGTGAAAGTCACGACCAAGCAAAAGGATAAAGAGGATAAGACCCCGAGTCAAAATCTCAAAGAGGAGAAACGTCGTCCAACCTTGAAGGAATTAGAGGCGAAAGTTTATCCATTTCCAGATTCGGACGTACCCACGATCCTTGATGAATTGCTAGCCAAGAAAGTCATCGATATCCTTGAATCAAAAAG